GGGGGGGGGGCGTGGGGGTCCAAAGGAGACGACAGCGAAGCTAGAACTCGACCTTGACTTGGCGTGGTTGCCCTTGTTGGTTTGATGCGGCTTGATTTCGCACTTTTGTGACTGGTTGGCCAGTGAGATGTGTGTATGGCCTGGTGACGCTTGTCGAAGCCGCTGAGAAGCAAAGTTTCATGTTCACGGGGTGATGCTAGATGGAGATTGCTGAGAAAGTTCAACAGCTGACGGCCAACTGTGCCGTTGTCCAATCTCGAACAGCCCACACAGCTGACGTGCTTACACTCCTCGAAGAGCCCAACAACCCAGCGAACCACACCGAACCAAAAATAAGTATGATATACAAAAACCTGTGTACAGTGTGTGCACTTGGCGGCAGGTCGAGTAGAGCCGAGCCATCGGGGACAACTGTTGCTGTCACGCGATTGGAAGCTTAAGGCTTTCTCACCTTCGCTCGTTAAACCGGGGGCACTGTACTGTACACTCGAGCGCCTTTTGTGCGCCACGTTTTTCCATGAACCGGCGCTCAGCGGCCCTTTGTAACTCCCGTTGAACACGACACGCCAATGACGCGTAGGAACTCCTTAAACACGAACGTTCTCTATACATAAGACCCGGGTTCTTCTTTAACACATCAAACACCGTTTGGCCTATATGGTTGGCTGGCACACGAAGAAAACACAAAACGGTTTGGCAAACGGACGCAAAAAAAACTATCCCGTTCTTCTGCCTCCCTGCCCGCCAGATGCGGTCTTCCTGCTGCTGCCCTCAACGCCTCTGACAGAAGCACTTGCCCTCTCGCGAAACGCGTTGATCCCTATCGGACTACACACTGCCCTGGTGGTGGTGGTGCCGCTGCTGCCACCGTTGCTACCGTGCCCCCTGCTAGCAATGCCTCCGGGGGGTTTCCACGGAAAGCCAATTGGCGCCTTCTTCCCCGTGCTTTTGCCGCCGGCAGCGGCAGCGGAGGCGTTGCCGTCGCCGCTGGTGTTGCCGCAGGGGGCCGTCGCCGTGGTCCCGTACACGAGCCGCGTTAGTCGCTCCATCGCCGTCTCCATCGACCTTCGCTCCTCGTACCACCTGGTGCGCGAGGTGCCCGGAGCGTGTGTGCGTGCACATGCGTCAGCTGTTTTTTTTGTCACGAGGGCACAGCAGCAGTAGTTCTTCGAACGGCAGCGTTGGGGTGGAGATTGTTGCACCGAGTCGTGTGCGAAACATGGTCGGGGGCAAAGCAGCGACGAAAACAAGGGCAATCGGAGCCTCGAGGGTCCCGGCAAAGCACACGTGCTGATCAGAGTCAGGAAGATTGGTATTGTTCCGCGCGTGAGCATTGTCATTGATCGCCGTGGATATAGCCTACAAGAAAAAAACACCGGCCTTGAGAGCGGGTGATTATCGTATCTCACCTGGCCCTTTCCGACTCGACCATCGCCACCTCTTGCTGAGCAATCTCGGCTGCCCGCTGGAGCTGGCAGAATCGGAATCGGGTAGGGGGGGTGTCCGGAGGTCGATGGTACGAAAAGGCGTGTTCAGTGGAAGGCGGAGGGCGAGGGGGGGAGGGGTGCGGGGAAACACGCATTTTTTTTGTCAAGAAGAGGAAAATGACGGCACGTCGGCGATCCTTGCACCTCCGAAGCGCTGCAGCGGCATCCAGGGGGGTCGAATATTGCTTCCAGACTGCTATCCCTTTGCTGTTACTCCTGCTAATTCCCTTACGTGTACCCCCCACGCCCATGTCTAGAGGGGAAAAGCCCGGCACATGGTGTGTTATAGGCACGATGCCGACGAATGCAAGCAGGAGCATTCTAGACACCTGCTTTTTGCCCAATTTATTAGCATACACTTTAAGCGCCTCTGCTGTGTGGTTGCTGTGTTCGTGTACAGACTTTCGGCGGTTTTCCAGGCGTGCTTCAAAAACGTCTGTCAAAATTTCGCACTGCATACACACCGCGGCCGCACCGACCAATCACGACGCAAAGACTGCGCGACTTGTGATTCTTTCCTGCTTGGTTCGGTGTGGCTCGCTGGGCTTTTCCAGTTGAAAACATACCCAGCTTTGTGGGCCGTTCGAGCTTGTAAAGCTTCGCCGCGGCTGCTGTCAGTCTACTATTCGAGCTTTTCTTTTTCATCATATTGCGTCACCCCTCGATGGCGTCGCCGCCGTGCTCTTGTGAGCTCGCCCACTCCGGAGGCCAACCTTGTATGTACCGAAGGTGACATGGCAGCAGATACCCCACAACCCGGACCGATTTCCAAAAGTTACTCCAAAGCAGAAAGAGCGGCGAGATGCCAAAAGCGGCGACGTCGAAGCCGTCTCGTCGAGATCTTTCCGAAAACGTACCTTTTGACTTGTACATCCAACGGGGTGTGACATCTTACGCAATGTCACTACGGTCGCCTTCGAAGTTTTTTTTTTTTTCGCTAAAGTAACCAACATGTTGGATAAAGCATGCAATCGGGGAAGATGGGATAGAGATAAGGTCTGCGCACCCCCCTCCCTGTTCTGTTTCCTCCCTAAACTTAATTGCTCGCGAGGGCGGTCCGGCGGTACGTACAACACAGCCAGCAGTACCTTCAAGTTGGCTCTCGCCCGCCGAGCCTGCGCGTTGCGATCCGATTCCAGCTCCGCCAACGCCTCCCTCAGCTGCCTCTTGACCTCCGCTCCCTCGGCACGTTCGAGG